CATTCTGTTGAATTGAGCAGCATTTTTTTCCAAACAAATTGAATATATCATGCAGAAGTGTGTTTAAATTAGTTGATATTGAATGGAAAATAATTTTTAAAATTCTTTGATATTATAGCGGCAGCAGGTCCTCACTCCAGAGTCCGTCATGTCACACCACAGTAACTCAGAACAGACAAACTAGCAGAAACCGAACGTGATTTGTTAATTATAGTGTGGCTGCATGAGACACAACAGTGGGAGAACAGAGAGGCCAGAGAGAGATTAGTCGTAGTTCTTATGCACATGAGTTTTTATTGACAGAAGTTTTCAATTGTAATAACTTGACATGTGGAGGACCAGCAGAAAATTGGTATAAACATTAGTGTTGCCTTCCAAAGATAAAAACCCTAAGAACAAATTAATGTTTGAAGAGTGATGCTGAAGTTGTCAGTTTTCTGCTGGACTGGTCAAAGGAGGTTTATCCTCTTAAAGGTTCATTAGAGTACAGATAAATGAAGCTGAATGATATCAGGTAGAGCTGCTGTCATAGATCCTGCTGATGTTTCCTCAGAATGATCAGAGTCAACTATGAGGAGACAATAACTCATTATTTATTTCTTTAGTCAGAAACAGAAACACGACTCACTGTCCTTTAACTCACTACAGCACTCAGAGCTGACCATCGATCAGCCTCATAATGCTGTTTTGAAGAGGGAAAACCACACGTCTTGGCTTTTCAGAGTCCTGAGACTTATGACAATGAGGAGGACGCTCCACTGTCCTCATTCTGGTTCAAACAGCTGACTGCTCAATGTGAACCAAAACTAAACCGTTATCACCACTTTATTCCCAGAACATGATGACTTGATTCTCTTAATAATATTATTACTTTACAATAGCAGTATGAATTTAATCTTGCATAAAAAATTATTTGACCATGACTTGATGTTTTTGTAAGAAAATGACAGGTATAATGTGGCCCTAAAATTCCGCTGTATGTCAGAAACATAGGCTTTGTTTGGCATGTCTTTGCTAGAACTGAGCTATAAACTGTATTATTTTAAATAAAATAACTCAAAACATTACCACCTCATCTCGCGAAACAGCATCTGTTGTGAATGATGTAAGCACCTATGAGTTTTATTTATTATATATTTATATATATTTACAAACAAACGCTAGACTGGAAATCATACTGGTTCATTTTGATGATCTCACCAAAAGCTAACTGGACTATCAGTGAGGAGACTTCAATTTTTATGTCTTAGTTTTTAATGTCTGATACTCATATGAGAGGGTAGGTGTCAGCCCAAAGAATTAGCTAAGTTTTTACCATTTCCACATAAGACTTTCAAAATAAACAAACATTTGACTGTCTAAAGATTGCAGAATTAGATTTCTAAAGCATGTAGAGGACAAGATGATCAAAGACTGCTTTGACCACAGGAGGCAGCAAAACTGAGATAGACTGAAAGTTCATGTCAGGAGCTTTAAACCCTCGGTACAAATGACCCAAAAAAGCATCCACTGGGATTTCAACTTTGAAATTTGGTTGAACACAGGTCTGAACATCTGGGAACTAGTATAAGCCATTTTCTAAAATACAGTTAGGACATCAGTATACCAGAAAGCCAGTGACAAAGCCATTTGCAGGGCGAAGAGGAATGTGCTTAGACGTAGGCTACTGTGAAAGCATTTTACTTTCTTCACAAAGGCATGGCCAAAGTGTATTGAAGACTGTGTGATGTCAGGTCAAAGGTCAAAGACACTATGAAAGGAACAGAATTTACTATGAACATGCATTGACACTTGGGCCATGCAGTCCGGACTATGAATAAATATATAAATAAGTTAATAGTGACAACAAAGATGACTCTTATCTTTGCTTTTAACAATATGAAGACTCTGTGCCACCCTCAGGTTGTCAGGTCAGCTGTTCCGTAATAATAAAAAGCTGCCTCATCATGGGATACAAATACACTAGAAATTAAGAAATGGCTTGTTTCCTCCAATTCAAACCAAAGACAAAAATATGGAAAAAAAAATTAATTATCATAAGTTAGTCACATGACCTAGAAGTAAAGCTGGAGGTTTACCCATTAATCGACAAGCTGACATTCAGGGCTTGAGTCGGGCCCAAGTCAAAGCCCTGGACTCAGTCATGACAGCACATGTTGATTACAGTCAGCTGCATTACTGGATGTTCTCTGTTTAATGAGAACTTTGTCAGACTCATTCACCTCTGAACTGGTCTTCTCTATGAGTCTCTGAGAGAAATGTAGAAAGTGTGGCATCTGCCCCCAGCCTCTCCGACACATGATGATATTCAGTTTGTAGTGTAGCTCACCATTTACAGAAACACACACACACACACACACACACACACACACACACACACACACACACTGTCATGCTCTCTCATAAACATTTAATCTACCGACAGTCAGTGTGCGGTGTTCTGTATGAAGCTGTTAAAGGGGGGCTTTAGGACTTGACCGCTCTGTTTAATGGCTGCCTTGGTAATGAAATGTGATTCAGGTGCTAGATGGATATCTGCAGTGAAATCTCTCTGCTCCCTCTCTGGCTGCAGCCCAGACGTCGCCTCCTGCTCACTCCTGCTGTAAAGTGTGATCTGCTGTGTTTGGCCTTTTGTCTGGGACAATTATGTTCACCATTAACAAGCTTTCTTCTGTTATTGTTCATATCAATTAGAGGTGGACAGTAATTTGAGCTGATGGTGGAGACGGTGCTCAGAGGTTTGGTGGTGGATGTTGGGTCTATGGAGGACGAATAATGCCACGAGGGAGAAGAAGTTTGACTCTGTAACTTCTTGTCTTTTTCTGTTTATAACATTTTACAGCTATTTGGTTGAAGGGAATTAAGAGATAGAATATACTATGACATCCAGACTATGAGTAACATATTTGTAAAATAAAAGCTTATTTCAGGAATTACTGCACTGTCAAACTAAGGTTATCCTGCAAAGTTTCTGGCCTTGTTTTTGTCACAAGGTAATGCAGCATCCTTTAGCATCACGCTGCAATGATTGATCAAATACATGCAACTCTAATAGATATATCAATCCCCATAGGATTGTTTTACAGTATTTTACTGTATTTTGGAGATCACACGTGAAAACAAGCATGTCTTGGTGATTTCCAAGAATAATCACGTATAGGATGTATCACACTAACCAAAACCAATAAAAGTGTATTATTTTCTGTCCTTTTGTTTGTTTGTTTGTAAAACAATATAAAGTACTTTGCTGGAGCCAGACTCTTTTGACTGAGGGGGGCCAAACTGGAGCGACTATGATTTAAGGATCACCTGGCATGGCAAATATGAGAGGCTCAACCTAGACCCAAGGAGAGGTATCTTCACAAATCACAGCTTATGTAACTTCTTACAAAAAAATAAAGAAAGAAATTTTAAAAAACTTTTTAAAAAAGGATATACTATCTTATCCTCTAAATTTGAACGGCAAGTCAACGGAGTGGAAACATTAAAATTTGTTGGACTTAACTCTTTAAAGCTCCTGTGAGAAAATTTTATTGGGTCATAAAACAAACTCAAGCTGACCCCCCTTTATGACAGAGGTAGGTATCAGTCAAACTGATGATCTGCATCCTACTGTAATCACCTATTTTTACATTTTTTTCATAGCAGATATTGTATTCACAGAAACTGAGACAATTTTTTTTAAAAAAAGTAACATTTCTTTGCAGCACATTTTTATTAAAACAAGTTCATAACATACAGTCAGTTAGGATACAGTCAACATCTTTATTCTCTAGAACATTCAGAAACCAATATCCCTTCCCCCTATAAACAAAGCTTCCAGACCAATAAACAGACCTCTTATTTAGAGACAATGTTAAATCACGCACAGGTTTGCCCTGATACAGGTTTATATCAGCAGGCAGTGAAGTATACTACTATAATACCTTGTTCAGTAAAGTTTCTCAAAATATTGAAGCAGTGGTTTCCAGTGAGTATAAAACCTATCAGAGCACCCTCCAATTGCAAATTTAATTTTCTCCAACTCAAGGAGAAATAGGACATCGTGCAGCCATGCCATGCTGGTTTGTAGTTGAAAAAAAAAAAGTAAACTCAATGTTGAATGCTGTTGACTTGCCTGGTAATGAGAAGACTCTGACTGGAGTCTCGGTATTTAGGTTTCAGCATGTATCTATCTAAATGTATAGTTTTATATTCAGGGCTTGTGTCTGGCCAGATACTGCTATAAGGTGGCACTAGTGCGCCTGGTTCTCTGTGGCATGAATCACACCTCATACCGGGCAGCATTCCAGCACTAAAGCGGCCCCGTCCTCTTTGTGTGAGCCGCAGAGCGGCTGCATGGTGCCCATCAGTGGCACGGCTCAGATAATGACTTATTGATAGACAGGGATGGCGGGTGCCCCATGCATATTAGCATGACGCCAGCTGGTCGCAGCACCACTGCTTCACCACCCAGAGCATCGCTAATACAATTACCTGCACTGGGCCGCTTCACCGGGGTCCCTCAGCTGACTGTTTGTACCTCTGACTGTACGTCTCAATCTACACATGCACCCGTTTAAAGACTTGAATATAAAACCACCTCTTACTTTATTTTATTGTTTTTATCATCATATTTGTTAGGGTTAGAGTAAGAGTTAGTCATTGTTTACAGAATTTTTTTTTCGACTTTTTACAACAAACACTCTTTTGTCTTATTTCTAGGAGAAGTGTCCTTTTAGGCTTCATTTCAGCCACATTCACCGAGAGTATGTCTCAAGATATCAAACACCAACAATGACAACTAAATTGCTTGTCATGAATATATATGTACATATATATATATATATATATATATATATATATATATATATATATATATATATACCTTTCATGTTTTCTTAAATAAGACATTTTTTCGTTCAAGACAAGTACAGTTCTCCTTACACCTTTTTTTTTTAGTCTTCAGTTTTCACGACTTATTTTGATATATATTCTCATGAAATGAGACATTTTCTGGACTCTTAGAGCGAATTTCACTTAAATAAAGCCAAAAATAAATTTGATTTGCTTTTGATTAGAAGTAAGACAAACACACGAGATTTGGTGTTTTGCAGTGAAAAGAGGAAAAAAGATCATTGAACTGTAAGCTCAAATGGAACCAAACTAATAACAACAATGATAATGATAATGAAATAAAGACAAATGTCAATGAGGCTAAGTGAATTGGTGCATGTGTAGATCTAGATGTGTGGACAGAGGTTTAAACAAACAGCAGAGGGACCCTGGTGTCAACGTCTTTAATGTGCATACTTTTGTTTAGTAACCCTTAACTATACAGATGCTCAACTTCTACAATATAAACAATTTAAAGAGTTAATGGAAAACATATATAAATGCTAACATGCTGCATATTCATGGTGTGATTTTAGGTCGCACTATTTTACTCTACATCTGTTTCTTTAATTTTTTTAGCTGTGAACTGATATGTATTCCTAATTTTCTCTTAAGCACACTCTCTTTTTATACTGAGTATAGTCCTGATTTCACCTGCTGTAGTCATTAGACTTGAGTATATTCAAATTTGTACCTGTAATTGTACATAGGCTTTATTATGGAGCCCTTTTATTTTTCAGGAACCTAAAGTTATTACACAAAAGAGAAAACTATTTCTTGTGGAAAAACAAAACAAACAAAAATAAAACAAACATTTTTAACAGTGGTTAATTCTGCAAATGAAGTCTTGTATTTCAAAGGTAGCTCACATCAGACAATGCTGTTTTGTGCCAAGGTGATATAATGTCAGGAAATGCCACAGCAGAGAGCCAGTCATACCTACAAGCCGGCTTCTCTGATGACTGATGAGGTGCAGTTATTGGGTCAGTACTCATTTTATTACATGTTTCAACAATGTAATCTAAATTCACATATTACATATTAGTCACATTTTTTATTTTCTGTGTTCACACTCTAATAAGGCCCAGAAAAACAATCATCTTCCCTAATAAAAACAACAAAGTCAAACACTTAATGCTGAGCAGAGAAGTCCCCATGTTTCAACATCCTTGTACTCGCAGATGAAAAACATTTCTACCAGGGCAGAGGAATAATTTTGGCGTGTCAGAGGAGCTGTGCAAAGAGGAGGGAGGGGAGACGGTTGCTAGATTCCCAGCATGTCCACATATGACAGTCCTTCGCCCAGGGCCGGCCGATGCAGAGACATTGTGCGCCTGTCATAGCTGCCCTTCAACAGCAGATGAAGCTGTCAGCAGGACGATGACTTTATCCTGACAGCCGCTCCGCCCTCTCTCTTCACAGCCGTGCAAATAAATATGTTGGGTCTCAAAGCTGCCAAGGCAGACGTTGGACAGTGGGTCAAGGGGCCAAACGCAGAGCAAAAGCATTCCCTGCCCCTCCTAACCTGCTCTCAATGAGCCTGGTCACCTCGCCAGGGCACCCATTCAGCATGAGCCATCCAGAGGGCCGTGGGGCCCCTGGATCTCACACACAGTGCCTGCTGGGGTAGTCTCTGAGAGTCTCCCTCTCTCTCTGACAGCCATCACTCTCTCTCCCTCTCTCTCTCTCCCTCTGTGAGAGCCAAAAATATCCTCAGCAGAGAGGAGCACACGGAAGAGTTGAAGCTTTTCTGACAGAAAGTGATTCAGTCTGATGAGAATGAGCTGACCTCCCCCTACTGACTCAGTGTGAGCACAAGTGTTTATTCAGAAAGTTCCTCTGCATGATGAAGTCGAGGTTTCATCACCAGAGCTGCACGCAGGTGAGAGGGAGAGAGAGAGAGAGAGAGAAAGACAGAGGGAGAGAGAGGGGGGCTGTGCTGGTGAGTGTTTGGGTGTTTGAATGGAGCTGACAGACCATCTGCAGTGTGAGATCTTCTCTTCCTTCCCCCATCAACTCAGCTTTTTTTCTCCTCAGTGAAAAACAGAAATCATCACTCTGAGTTCATCTTTTGAAACTCACTAAAACATTATCCAAACAAGTGGCATTATGTACCACAGTACAAGTGATGAAGTGTGAACATGGACTGGACACTTTCAAATCACATACAGACATACTGTATATGCACACAGTCTGTGTACTTACATGTGGTCTTTGTTTCATTCATGTTGATACGTATACTGGTCTCCGTCTTTGTTGAAGTCTTATATCTTATTGCACACATTGATCTCATTAAGTGCTTTTTAACTCGTAACACTGTACTCTGTGATTTCTGTTTTCATTTATATAAACTTAACCGCTGACAAACCACGGTTTCATGTTAGCCATGGCTAGAACCCTGTGTGTGTAGCAACGACTTTGTCCATGTGTTTGTTGGATTTCTCCCTGTCAAATAAACAAAAGCAAAAAAGGGAATAAATGCTTCATCACTGCTGACTGCTGAACATCCATACAGAGTTTTCAAAAAACTTCTGAAGAAAGTTTGACTGTATTGGCAGCTATTTCACTCATCATAAACAACCAATAAAATCCTCATTTTCACCTGAAATATCCTCTATGAAGATGAACACCTGGACCTCCCTTATGATCCTGCTTTATATTGAGTGTATTAACTGGGATACTCTGTGAGATTAGATTTTTTTGACAGTGTCTATTGAAGTATTAAATCATGCGCTCTTTTTCTTTTAATTTTGTAGAGCTACACTGGATGGATTTTTTTTATCCAACTCACCTCTGCTGTAAAGCACTTTTGTTGTTTTAAATGTGCTTTAAAACAAGTGAATAAGTCACTTTACATCCCCTTAAACAGGCCATTCTGCTCAAATTTGTGATATTTTATTGAATAAAAATTTGCAGATATTCACCTGAAGGATCCATCACGTTCTGCTGCTACACTGTGTATTAAAATGTATCATGAGTTTATCTGTGACATCCAACAGGTCAACTTCATTCACAGAGTAGACTCAGTAACTGCATCACCTCTGAATTATGAGGATGTCCTGAACATCCCGCAGCCAGAGTCTGACAAAAAAAGATAAAAACTGAAGAAAATCCATCCTGACAGAAAAGTATTAATCCAAGGTTTTTCTGTCAACACTTTTTACAAACAGATATTTTCCCCACACTCCATTTCCTGACTTTATTGGACGAATTGTGTTGAGCTCTGTTTTCTGCGCCTCTTGTTTCCTCTTTAATACATTTCTTCAGACGTGGCCTCCAAGAAAAGTCTTGCTGACAAAGAACATGGTATGTGAAGGTCTGATACACAGAGAGCTGAATGAGAAATAGCTCTCAACATTGAGCAGCAAAATATCTTTTGGAGAAATTTTGATTGCTTACAACCTTGACATGTTTTATTTCCAAAAGATTACATCTTCCTTTATTTGACAGCAGTGACATTGTGAAAATTGTGTCAGAAAAAAACAGCGTGATCTGAGTCTCTGCCGCAGCTCTGCAGGTTACAAAGGGTTAATTAATTACTGCCTAAGCAATATCTAATTTCCTAGTAATTTCTACTATCTTACAGATGTTTCAGAGAGCAAACAATCCTGGCTGTGGGATGAAAACAAATCCTGGGACCCACCAATTTAAGTGCAGAACATTTCACTTACCCTGTTATTATATAACAGATTACAGCCTCCCTTACATAACACGGCTAAATGGAGAGGCTCGCTTTGCACGCAACCAAACCCAAAACTGATGCTACTTTGTGGATCAAGATTCTGCTCCCTACATTTGTTAGGCATTGTGACAATAGGAATATGTGTTTTTAAATCAAATACTGTAACTGTGCAGAAACATCACTGAGATAGGAGGAGTCTGAAACCTAAATTCACCTTTAACATAAAAACATGAAAAACACAACTCTTGTGATTTCCTACTTTAATCTAACCTCTCTCCATCTTTAGTTACAGGATTTTTTTCAACAGATGCTCCTGGCACTTTTTTAAAGTTACCAGGACAAAACTGATAACTTCTGTAAAACCAATGTGGGGTATTTTTCTAACTTGTCATCTATCAGCTTACTATAGTGACATCAAAATTCAAAATCAGATCTATTTCGAGATGCAAAGCTGGCGCTTGAAGCAGATTTAGTGTCCTCACAGCTGACCTCATAGGAGCTTTACATTTAAAGCTCCTGTCAGGAGTTTTTGTCTGGTTATGAAAGAGGCTGAAATCAACTGTAAGGCCTCTCTGTTACCTTCAAAAGCAAACAAAATATTGTTTCTGTATTTTTATATTTCTATATTGTAGGTTGTAATGCTTATGACAATGCAAGGGGTAATGTAATTTACCACAGAAAATTCCTTTATTCACTTATTCCATTGCAAATATTTATGCTAAGTGATACGTCTGACTGTTAAAGACAGCAGGATGAGATTTTGTCCAAAAAAAACCCCACAATTTACTCATTTATGATAGATGTTCAATGAAGAAATAGGGTAGATCTCTTTGTCCACAGGAGGCACCAAAATTGACACGAAGCAGCAGTTCCCTGCAGCAGCTTAAACATATGTTTACATGAGTAGTTTCAGAAGATAGCTAACAACACACTCCCCATTTACACTAATAACAGCCTGGTCTTGGTGTTTAGACCACACCTCTAGAAGTGAAACCTCCATCTTAAAAGGGGTGGCATTATGCTTTTTCACATTTGCAACAAAAGCTGAAAAGTTATGGAGTTTGATCTACAGGAATGCAAGGTTTGAAATCACAAGGTATTTTGTTGTAATCTTAGAAAATAGACGTGAACTGCTCAAATCTCGGACAAACACGAAAATGCGGGACCGTACTTTATGTGCAAGATTTACTAAAATTCTTATGTAAGAATTAGGGTAACTCTGCTCAGCTGCTGAACTGATTGATCACACTTAAGGGAGTGGGACCAAAATATCAAGCTCTGCCCTTTGGCCGGCTCCCAAAAATCTGGAAGCATTTCAGACGGAGGCTGAAATAATATTTTAACAACCAGGGCTCTATTTTTGTGCTTCGCCGGAGACAGAGTGCAGGCGCAGCGTAAGTCAGGTCCGCCACACCGACAAGGCGTTCCCAAGCACAATTTGGTATTTTGGTGAGTGGCGCAGCCCGGCGTAAGTATCCCCCCTCCCTAACTCAGCTCCTCCAAGCGCCGTAAGTCGTAGGGAGGGAGGAGAGAGGGCGTGGAATGGGTTTAACACAGCCGAGACCTGTATTGACCAATCACATAAGTTCCTCTCCTCACCTTTAAATCCGCCACTGGCGAGGCATATTACTATTTTCGTGAAGTAGTCAAAGAGATCAAGAGATGTCTGAAGACAGTAATGCCACACGATGGCAGAAAGAAAAAGAAGAAAGAAAAGAAGGGGGACGAATTACATATCTTGTTAACTTCATGTGTGTATATTTACTAGATATTTAATTTAATTTAATGTGGTTTCAGCTGTGTTGATTCGGTCAGGTTGTGTGTCCAAACGTGTGCCAAACGCGCTCATCAGATCAGATATAGATCAGAATATATCTATATGGATCTAAATGTATGTGCTGATTCAGATTATTCGTTGTTGATTATTTATTGCACTGAAATGTGCCTGACACTGTGGAAACCTGCCGGTGAGGCATCATTGATGTATGCCGATACGCCGCCGCTCTACCAAAATACCACTAGACCAGCTGCGCTCCGCCTGCGCTGAAAGCTGACCAAGTTTGAATCGGCGAGCTTTTAGCGCACTTTATACACCACCGGCGAGCACGAAAATGTGACTGCGCCCGCTGATTCTGTCGACACCTCCCTCTGCCACGCCACCACGCCCAGCTTGGCGGACCTCGGTGCGCCTCAGTCCATGAAAATACCAAACTGGCTGTACACCGGGCTCCACCAGACGAAAGGATAAATAAGTCTTCAAAATTTGATTTATCACAGCTGTATTTATGTCAGTGCCCTTTTTTATTTTGTCACCCCTGCCCCTCAAACAGTCTCCGAACGCCTCTGGATGCAGGTGTTTTCTAGGCAAACAAAAAAGGTCACGGTATTTGATTGACATCAAACTTGACAAATTCTTCAAACAATCCCAGTCTGAGATTTTTCCAGTTTCAATAACTTCTAAACTTTGACTGACACTCAAAAAAGGGCTAATTGATCTTGAAGAGGGGATTCATCCTGCATTAGAATAAATGGGTGAAAATGGCCATATTAGTTGGTCAAAGAAAAAAACAATTCAACACCAAAATCCTTTGACTTGAACTCAAAAACGACTGACATTAAGAAATCTCATTAAGAAAACTCAGTGGAGTCTTAAGGTCTTTACACACCAGCGAATTTGCGGAGCAAAGCGAAGAAGCGAGACGAAAATGCGAAAATATTCACCGGTCCGAAAAATCGCTTTCGCCTATACACTCCGGGCGACCCCTCTGTGGTACACACTCTCTCCCATCGTTGCTCTTGGTGCCAGTGGTGGTGTGTGTCGTGTGAACTGCAGCTGCATGGGTCTGTGACATCATCAACAACATGACTTTTGATTGGCCAGAGGTCTAGCAGGTCCAGATATTCGCCTGCGAATCTCCGAAAAATTCGACACATGAGCGAAAAAATAAAAGACGCTTTTCGCCATGCGGAAAAATCGCCACCGGTGTGGAAGCTTGCATTGACTTTATGCTGTTTTAAAAAACGGCGAATAATTCGCCTGGCGAATTCGCGCCTGGTGTGTAAGGACCTTTAGGGCGGTTTGGCCTCAGGAAATTCCATCCGTGCATGTTTCCTATGGCTTTAAAGTGCTTATATGCAAAATTGAACACGTACTGCATAATATCACCAACCCCTTCCTAACACAGATGTACAGTCCAAAAAACAGAGAAGATTAGACAACCTTTTGGATCAGAATTAGTTCAACTTGAGTGGTTTCAGTGATTCCCTGATCCTCCGCTGTCGTGTCTCCTAGATCAGATAGAATACAAATAACCAGTGGTCTGGAGATCAGGAGGTCAAAGGTCACAGCACACAGACAATATTCCTGTGACCCATGAATGATCAGTGATCATTAAGAAGGGTTAAGAAGGAGTCCAAAGTCTCTCCATCTTTGTGGGGAACAATGGTACACGACAGGAAACAGCAAACACAGCAGACAAATGTACACGAGAGAGGCAGTTATCAGAGCGCCGACACGCCTCTGTGAGCCCTGTTTTCCTAGGTTATTACCCACAAGTGTCGGCATTGTCCCCCGCTCAGTCACACCATGCTTTTAAACCAGTGCACTTCCGTCTGTTCGTCAACAATTATTTCTTTATTTATATTTTATTTAAGCCTTTTTAACATATTTAACTTGAATTAGCGAAGAAAACGGCAGCATAGTGAAGTGCATATTTTACACTTTGAAAATACAATGAATGGGTAAAGCAGTACAAAAAGAGCTTTTATGTATTTGTTCATTTTCGGGCCCTTCTTTCCTGAAGTGTTGCTGGTAAACTGTGAGCTTAAACTGAGAAGTTAGTTTTTTTAATAAAAGAGAAAAACCTTCAGAAAAGTACATATGTTGAACAATTAGATGCCCCAAAAATATCTTTGACAAAAAGGGACCCCACAAAAACTGCATAAGATAGCTGTGGAAGTCCTGATGCAGGAAGATTGCAGTCTTTGAACCTGAACACAAAAGGGTGGAGTTTCAACTATGACATACCAACAGACTGAGATTAAACGTCAGAGGCTCTCAACCTTAGGATCAAGACTGTAAACATGAACTCCATGAACAACAGATAATAAATGAAGAGAATTTTTTAAAAACAAAACAAATCTTTTTAGTGTTTTTGTTGGTTTGGATCATTGTATCATTGTAGTAACTGAAAGTATGTGGCTCAGTAAAAAGCACACCATTTCCCTCTGGACTGTGTTAACTTGTTACATAAATGATAATAAAGTGGATTCACTTTAAGTTTTAACCTTGAAACTTCAGTTCTTTGATACATTCACTTAGTTACTGTCTAAAACTACATCAGCAACAAAAACATGCCATGAATCCCAGGGGATTCAACAATTTCAGTCATGTTGTTATAAACAACATTCTCTGCTAAAAGCTTTACACTCAGTCATCTGATAGTACCTGAGGCTGTTCTGACAAAGATGCAAGGGTCCAGGGTCCTGGGTTCACCACAGCACCTCCAGTCATCTTTTACAATACATACTTTTGGTTCATCAAATCTCCTTTGTATGGGTCCTCAAAAAGTGTGGGAAACCTTTATGTGAGGAGTTATTTTTCTTTGATATATGGACCACAAGTAGTCTGAAATAGTTCATAATGAATTACTGATAATAGCGTGCACTCTCCCATTGTTACAAACATATTAAAGTGTAAAGAAGTGACTCAAAGTGATCAAAAATGTCAGACACAGGTTGTCTTATGAGAAAGCCAGTTTCTGGAGTTAAAAAAAAAGTGGAAAGTTGTCCCATGACATCAGGGTTTCAGTTGCTTAACTGTCCTTTTCTTGAATTTCTCATTTCATGTTTGTGCCAACTGTTCTCCAGAGCAGAGGACGCTCTGTCCATGATTTCCAAAATGAATGTCAAATTTTGACAGTTTTCCACTTATGCTCAGTCCATCTTAAATGGTCCCATGCCAACAGAAGCCTTTGCGATGATTTGCACTATTAAGTCGTGACTGTTTTTAATGCAGCGCTGCCTGAGGGTCTGAAAGTCTGGCTACCCAAATTGGTTTTTGGCCCCATCCCTTGTACAGAGATTTCTCCATTCAAGAGATCTTGTAGTGATATTTTGTACTGTAGATGATGAAATCCCCCAAATTCTTCACTGTTTTAGACTAAAGAAACATTATTCTGAATCTGCTGAACTACTTACTCACACAGTCTCTCACAGATGGGTGAACCACTTTCCATCTTTACTCCTAAGAGACCCAGCCTCTCCAGAAGTGCCCTCTTTGAACACAACGTTACACACACACAGTGTTACTAACCGTTGGGAAGTTCACCTCCATAGTTTGGAGATGTTCGTCTTGTTCGGCATCACACATTTTCAGTGTTTAGTTGTCTGTGTTTTGACATCTTTAAAGATGTTGTTCGCATCAAATTTAAAATGATCATCTAATTTTCATGAATCAGACACAAACCGTCAAAATCTGTTTTTTTTTTTAAACATTTCATACAATTTGTGTTGTGAATGTGAAGTATAGTCATCCTTGTTAACTGGCCTGCAGTTTTGTATACCTGGTGTGTGAAATTTGTTGGCTCTTATATGGTGAGGATTTGCTTTGAATTGTTTTATTTTATTTTATTTATTCATTTATTTATTTTGTTTACCAGATATTGAATTTGAATTAATTCAAATTAAATCAATTTTGAGGACTGACTTTTTTCCCCTGTGTCCCTGTATTCAGAGCAACTAAGTTCATTAGATAATCTGATATTAAATACATCCTCAGAGAAATCACTGTGGCCCACTTTTATCTCTGGTCTCCTCTGACTTCGCCATAGTGTGTGATTTAATTGCTGCTGCCATGATTTCATTCACTCCCAGTATGATTTTTCCTTTTGGCCCAGTTGCCTTTTCATGAAAAACTTTTCATAAAGGAAGATTTGCATCTTAATGGATCATAGCGACAGAAGAGGCCCTCTGTGCTTTTCAGAGTGGAAAAACACTGCTGCTACGACAAACAAACAAAAATACTATTTCAGATGTCAGATTAATGCTGTTTCCAGGAAGCTTGTTTCGATTGTGTTGTAAAATCAGATCACTGACAGTGGTGTATTAGAGGAGGATTAACATGACTTTCGCCCTGCTTTCTGGGCACAATAAAGCTTTAATCTGAGCCCGGACGGGGAGGCCGGGGCTGCTGCACTAGTCCAATCAGCTGCCCCTGAGTCTGCAGCATATCCTTGCCTATCATGGATGTGCTGCTGCTGGTAGTGGTGATGGTGGTGGTGGTGGTGTAGTGGCCGGGCCTAGCAACAGACGCAGTGACAGACGCGCCCCTGGGATTCCACCTGTCAGCCACAAACACACTAATCGACAGGCCTCCTATGAGCTGAACTCTCTGTCGCCTCTCTGTCAAATCTTCATCTTCTCATTCGGCTGACAGATTTCCCTCCCTCCCCACCCCCACCCTTTTTTTCTTATCCATCCCAAACTCCGCCCATCCACCCGCCTGCAAAAAACTCACCAACATCATCCCGTTATGCCGGCTGCTGTACCCAAACCACACTCGTTTGCTGTTTTGAAAAAAGATGATTGGTTTGTTCTTACTTGAAGGAATAACGCCAAATCTTCTGTGCGGCTTCCTATTAAAACAACCCCCACCCTCCTCCTACTCCTCCACCACCTCCTCCTTCTCCTCTCTGCCTTTCAGCTTTAATGTGACAGAGGTGGGCTTTAATGTTCTGTAGTAATTGGGTAGGAGAGGGAGAGACTGGGAGGAGGAGGGAGAGGAGGAGGAGGAAGGGTCATGGTCAGGTTTCTCATGGAGGTTATTCTGCATCTGTCTCTTAGCAACCGCAGGCCACTCTTTGTACAGTCCTTGAGTTGATTGGTGCTTTTTTTCATACCTCCTTGGTTGCTGTGCTGAAATGTTTAGCGAGGGGGCTCCTCCTCAGCAGACAGACAGACAGACAGTCAGGCTTCTTCTCATATTCACACCGCTTTTAAGAATCTGTTTCCTGAGCATCAGATGGACTCACTGAGGCGTGGTGCTGGACCTCCTTCATTTTAAGAAAAAACAAAAACACACCAGAAAAAGACAAAATGAAGACCAAACATGTGATCCACACTCCTTTAAGGATGGAGGCTTTATTTCTACAGTTCTCTTAAATTACATTTCATCAAGTGACTGTATCATCCTCACCACTATCATGTCCCCTTCTCTTAAGCCAGTGTCGGGGAAAGGGCAGCATGGGGTCAAAGGTCAGTGGAGGAGCCAGGGGAACCTCTTGATTCACACGTCAGCTTGAAGACATCAGAGCGGAGTGGCCTGGTGTCAGTCCAGCACATGGAGAGGGATTAAAAGGCCAATTTGGGGACAAGGAGGAGAACTAAAAGAAGGAGTAGAGAGAGAGACAGAGACAGAGACAGAGAGAGAGAGAGAGAGAGAGTTCTCCTTTAACAAAAACACTGAGCGAGAGAGAGAGAAAGAGAGAGAGAGGAGAGAGAGAGAGAGAGAGAGAGAGCAGTTAAATCCACCTGATTAAATGTTGTTGTTTTTATCTGATATATTTCCAACATGTAGTTAAACGACAATAAAGCATTTAGTAACTCAAAAGTGGATCTATTGATCACTTAAAAAGGATGAAATGTCCCTTTTTCTTTGATTTGAACAGGTAGGCCTATTTCCGTGTTAAATGTGTCCCACAGATATCGCTGTTGAACAGATAGAGGAACTTGCTGTCAGATGTTTCAGCCTGCAGGTCCGTTTCATGGCAGTTTCCAGACAGATGGAGCTTCATTTCAGCGATGAAAAGGCTTTTAATTCTTCTGAACTTTCAGTATCTCCCCAATAACAACAAAGCGAAAAATGAAGGAAGCCGCCGAGGGACATCAGAGCTGCACATGTGAACTTTCACCCGCACAAGTCGTGTAATTGACGTTTGCTACTTAGCAGGGGGAAAAAGAAAAGAAAAAGAAAACCTCTGTGAAATCTGAATTGTTGGGGAAAGAGGATTCAGGTTGTGTAGCTTGGGTCTATGAGGTCAGTCTGCTTATAAGCGTTAGGCTAAGCCAAAGTACAGACGGACCTGTGTGGCCTTACAGCTTTACTGAGAGAGTTCATCACAGCGGAGCGTTCTTTCACATCCACCAAAATAAAAGCACAGAAAAAACCCATACCAAACCAGTGGATTTTCAGTAAAAAAAAAAAAAAAAGTGAATAAAATATAACAGAAAAAAGAGATAACCGTGCATTAGAAACAAATTTTGGAATAATATAATTATCGAGAAGATTAAAAAAAGTTTAGTGATTATTGTTCGTATCCGTATTACTTTAATTTACAGCCTTTTTTCACCCGGATCCACGTTTTACCTCTTCTGATCTCTATCGTGTTTTCCAATTATTTTACTGTCTATTTTAAGATAACGTTCAATACAACCAGATAACAGAAAATACTTGTTTTATTTCATTTTATTTTATTCACGTTCACTTTTAATTGTAGGATATACTCTCTCATAATGTTAGAAGTAAAGAAAAGTGTAAAACAAAAAAAAAGGAAGAAAGAGAAAAAAGAAACAATAAAATCTGTAACAAACTTTACGGCACAGATGGCGAAGCGCTATAAAGCTTTAGTAAAAGAGTAGGTTTGTTGTTTCCTCCCACTAAAATATCCCAAAACTCTGACAATGAAGACTGAGAGGTGATTGAGAAGAATCGATGGCGTCAAACTCTTGTCAAAACATCCGGTAATAAATGAACCCAGAGCCTCTCTCTTCAATTACTGAAGAAGTTCCAATAAAACCGATAATTCTTCAAAAGATCCCAACAACAAAATCATACATCGATTTATTCAGGAGCGACTTTGAAATAGTCCTTAGCCTTTATTTGACTTATTTCCCATTTGAATTGTCATTTTTAAACAAAACATTCACGATTTATTTTTTTTTTCATATAACATAATCTAAAGAAAGAACTGACAAGGTCTCTTCTGGTACCGACTTGCTTTCAAAGAAAAGTGAAGCTGCAAACAGCAAACGACATTTTTTTCTAGCCTTTTCACCACTAAAGCTTTGTCACAGAAGACCGTCTTTCTGATGTATTTGACAGCAAAAAAATAATAAGAAGAATAATAAGCTTTTCTCTGTTTTGATTCGATTTGTATCTGTTGCACGGACTAAAGCCTGTGGTAACTGAAAAAGAAAAAAAAAGAGTCGGCTCCCCGTTCGGACCTGTTATCATCCAAACCTTTTTTTACTTTGAAAACCTTCTGGATTTAAAGGAAACTTTCATTGCTAAAACAATATACATTATTTTAAACATTATTTGTCAACGAAAACAGAGGACCTGTTGAAATGATTCTCTGGGGGGGATTATAAAACAGTTTTTCATGATCACAGATTTTAAAAGAATAATTATTGGTTATTTCAACGGAGAGAAAAGCTGCAGTCAGCACTTCCTCGATAGCACAAATAAACTGAGGACAACCCCGAAAACCTTCTCTGTTTTTCTCCATGCTAAATTGTTTATTTTATTTACAGCTCCGATTTTACTGCTTAAACCTTAAAAGGATGAAAAAGCCCAGCAACCCACGCGGCTCTGTTTTGCTCCTCGCTCTCAGCCTCAGTCAGCACGCGACAGCTGGGCACGTGAGGCTTTCTTCCATAAAACAAATGAAACCAACAACTGACAGAAACTTCGTTTTAATTCTTCGGTAATTTGGACATTTTTCCTTCAGAATTTTTCCAGGAATTTTCCGGAGGTCTTCATCCTGAAAATATTCGATAATTTAACGAGATAATTTCGTTACCGTAGCCTACATCGAGCGAGGGGGCCCTTTGCCATCAGGCAGACGGTAACTTACACCTATAAAAGCCAAAAAAATTATGTCAGAAAAATAAACATTTAGAATTAAAAAAAGGGGGAGGGGGAGTAATTTTAGTGAGGCTACATAAAAGTGCTCCACAATATTGTGTGGTTAAACTTTGATATAAGAACTGAATGTGGGCTTCTTTAGCCTCTTTAAACCAGTCCCCACTGAACATAACGACCATCAATATTTAAAAATAGGGGGACATAAAGCAATCATTTCATTGGCCGCACACTTTGACTGTAAACTGATTGGCTGTTAAATGCCTGGCGAACAGAGACACAAAGCTGGTGTTTCTCCTGCTCAGAGCATCTCAGCCTACTTTTCCTCCTCCTCCCCTGCACACCACAGACTCCTTGGCGTTTTCTTCCCCTTGGACCAGTACGTGTGTGGGAAAATGCTGCATTGTTTTACCGTGGCCCTTTGGCCCAGAACACCCAGGGGCCGTGGAGCGCCCAGCTTCATCCTCCTCAGGGTAAACTGTTGTGACAGAGCACTCGGGGGCCCCTCATTAGCTCCCTGTCCACTAAGAAGCAAAGAAGCTGCTTTAATCCTCTCTGTCCTCCACAATCTGCCAACTCAGACACCATTATTATTTCTTTTTCATACTGCACTCCTATGTCTTATGCAGTTTAACCACCTCTGTGATTTAATGCAGTCCCCTACAGCACAAAATCAGGCTTTCTGGGAGATGTTAACATGGTGTACAAACTGGTTTAAAGTTTGCAAAAATTCTGCAATTACTAAAAAAAATCTCTTGATATTATTTTTATTATTAATATATATTATTATCGTTCCATATAAGTGTGTTTGCATGCATCTCCCAGTCATCGTGCACAGTTTGAAGATTTGCAAATATATATTCTTGCTTGATATTTATTGTATGATATTACTATTTAATACAAAATACGCACATTTAAATCTGCATTAGATGTCAAATTATTTCAGCAGTTGCATGTTTTTCTCAGTTTTTGTTGTTTTGGGTGCCTTTCAGTCATACAGTGTAGCATAACTGCAGGGGTAAAGATACACATATTGTTTGTCCCTGCAGCAGGTTTTTAATGCACACATTTCAAATTTATTCTGATGCAGATGTAAAATTTTCAATGTGAAGAAAATTGATTGATTGACACGTCTGATCAGTGACAGTAACACAGTCAGAAATAGGCTCCATACAAATCTGCTCTGCTCTCCCAACAGTTGCCTGTATAGTCATGTGCTCCCTCACAAACACACACACACACTCTCTCTCTCTCAGTCTCTGTCTCTCTCTCTCACTTGCACACTCACATATACACTAAAAATATATAATGTCTATTTTTTTCTTTTTGGAGGAGGTGGGATTCAGTCATTAACAACATCAAAATTGAAATGGCAAAATAAACCAAATACACTTTATTTATAAATCTTGAGTTATAATTTAATACGGTACCAATATGTTAACCAATATGCTTTCACAGTACATCAGAGTGGTTGTCAAAAAAAGTAAACACAAAGAAACATCCTCTCTCTCTCACACACACACACACACACACACACACACACACACACACACACACACACACACACACACACACACACACACACACACACACACACATCCACAAACAAACACACACACTTTCAGTTTAGCAATACCCTGCAGTGGTCTATTGTGCCATGAGGCGGCCTGGGCTCATAAATGCATAACTCAAAAAGAAATAGATTTGTGTGACTTAACCTGGCAGTCCATTTATCCCATAGAGAAACTGTACAGAATACATCAGGCCCAGTGCTTGAAAATCTCTCTCAGACAGTCAGTGGAAGGAAAGTGTTTGGTAATGCATTAACCATTAATCCTGTAAAGTCACGTCATTACTTCTCCCAGGACCAGTCCCCAAAAATGCCAATTTCATTTTAACTCCCCTAAGAACACAAATATCAGCTCAACCCAAAGCTATCTAACATTCAGCCGACTTCCCTTTATCAGTTTATGCCATCATCTCACAGTTCCGATGAGAATTGATCAGAAACAAGAGCACTAATTTCATGATGATCATGGGGAGAAACAGTCCAAATATCACTTTTCAAAGGTGGAAATGACGCCCTACAGCAGGGTCAAGTCTGCCAAAGAGTACTGACCAAAACATTGGAGCTGATTTCAATGTCAGAGTAATGATATTATCAATAAAAAGAGTAATGCATTACCTGGCACCAGCTCACAAGAAGTGCATTTTTCAAATTTTTTGCTCTCATTCCTCTCCCTCTCTGCACATCGACAATGCAAACAGTATAAGAATCCAAATACACACAGCGTTAATCTCCCCGTCCGTTCCCTCTATACACAATTTAACAAACAGGTTAAAGTCAGATGGTGTCTGGCGTCATACACCTGTGTTAAAAATCTTTCTAAAATGTTCCTTTAGTCCAAAGTGCCATATCTGGAAGGTATGAAACAAAAGAAAACAACAAACAAAAATAAAAAGATCAACACAAGACAATCCCTGCAGTTTTTTTCACCAGCCGGGGCAAAAATACGTAAAACATTTAAAAAAAGGAATCAAAACATAATTTACAAGCACGATAAGATAAATATACACACAGGGTCCAATAAATATCGTTTGTTATCCCAAAAACCATAGACTGTGAACGGTCACCACACTGCAAAACAAAGTCTGTCAGAAGCAGTCATTTCATGTCAGGAAATACTGTCCCTTAAAGTAAACAACTCTGCCAGTGATTTCAATCATTTATTGTCTGCAAAAATGGTCAATTCATGTCAGGTCCTGTGGAGACTCTATACAGAATAAGGCAGATCATTCCTCTGGTGGAAAGAAAATGGCGTTCATGTAAAGAAAATGACGAGCTGAGATAATTCTGAAGAACAGAAACCTTAGTCATTATCTCATCCCACTGGCAGTTTTGTTCCCTTGTTTGGATCAACAGAGACTTTACTCAGCACTGAAATGACTTGATTTGAGGTGTGGTTCCCTTTCCTGACCTTAGCAGCACCGCTGTAGCTTCTCCCTCCTCCTCCTCTACTGAATGGGCATGTAAGGCCAGTTGAAGCTGCTTCCAGACAGCAGCATGTCCCTTATCAGAGTCTCTATGGGGGTCTTCCCCACCAGGCGGACGAAGAAAAGCTGCTCTATGACTGAGGAAGAGACAGTGCGGAGGGAAGGCAAGCGGAGCAGTAGCTTCCCAAACCTGTTGGGCTGGTTGGGGTACTGGCTCCTCACATATTCCTCTAAAGCACACTGAGATTTCTCCTGCAGACCCTCCACATGGGCCACGTCTGACAGGCCACAAGCATCTACAGAAAGAGAGGGCAACAGGAAAGAAAAGGCGGTGAAGAGCAGTGGTTTGACTGGGCATCAAAAACGGGAAACACTAGAAAAATACTGTGAAGGTTTAAGACTGACTACGATGAGTGTATTTACAAAATAACCATAGCACACAGCAACAACATAGAGTTGGGTTATAAGGCTCTTACAAAGACGAAAAAAAAATATATATTTTCTAACCAGGACAAAAATATAGTTCTTCATTTCAAACAACTAACAAAAGGTATTAAAGAAACAGTCTCTTATCTCATAATAACTTCATACTGTATGTGTTGGGCCGGGTAACAGAGAAACAGTCAATTATGCAGCTTATTAAATGAAAAATAACTTGATCAGTTAGTCAGATATGCTCAGGTTATGGCCTACCATGCTTCAGTAAAAGTGCTGGATCAGTGCCATAGCAAAAATACAATACCATGAAGTCTAAATATCTCCATATTTCTGCCTGCCATCTGAATTCAGTGTTTTCTCTTCCATCCTAAAGCACCAGGGATCCAATTTGGTGCTTCTGTGGCCGTTTCAGAGTAAAAACGGATGTTCTGAACAATTAAAAGGAAACGGTAATGATGTTTGAGAGCACATGCAGAGAGTGGACCACTTGTTTACACACATTACATGTAGTATTCAGCAGAACCCCGTGTTTGCACTGGATCGCTGCAGGCCGCATGGCAGCAGGGGTTAAAGAACGGTCTCTGTGTCCCAGTTTAACGGCACATGCTCAGATGTGCAAGTGAGGACCAAAATAGACATGGACTGAGAGAGCTTTTTTCACATTTGACTCTTCTGCTCCTCCTCGTCCTTTTGATCCTGTTCACCATCCTGCCATCAAACATCATTCTGACTGAAATTAAAAGGCTCAGAAGTAAGAGAAATAGAGAGAGAGAGAGAGAGAAATAGAGAGAGAGAGATAGAGAGAGAGAGAGCGAGAGCAGTTGGTGAAGGAATGCAGACATGCTGAGTTATAACGCAACACTAAGAAACAGTCAGAGGCCAAGTTTTTTTGTTTTCTGCAAACACAATTACAAAAACACCACCGATCATGTTGCATTTATGTTTTATGTCTAAAATTAACATTTTAAGTTTTTACCAAAATTAAATTAAAAATATTGGTTTCATCTATGTTATCTTATTTTATATATTTATTGATCAAATAATGCAAACAAATACAATTAATTCAATGTCTTTGTTTTACATTTAAAAAATTACTAAATATATTAAAAATAGAACTCTATGCAATAAATGCAAATCTTAAGCGGTCAAAAAAATAAAGCACACTCGATGAATCTTTGCATTTATTTAATTCTGCTTTCATTTATTGATGCAGAATTTTTATTTTAAGGTTTGCAGCAATTTCTTGAAAGCTCACTCATCGGTTTTGAAAGTCACAAGATAAAGAAATTACTAAATAAACTCTTTTTGGGCTAAAAAAATTAATGAGGTCAAATTGGTAAATCATAAATAATAGACAGCAATAAAAAGAGCATTTTAGCCCAGATTGTGACAGGGCTTTTTTTAAAAGGAAAAATACATTTATTTCCTATTTATGTATGTGTTTATTTTTTGCCTAATTAGCTTTTAATTGTGGCTTAATTGAGGGGGTATTTTAGACTGTTTTCAAATAGAAATTTAGGGTTTTGAAAAATCAATATTTTAGATCTAACAGCTGGTATGTATTTGTAGCTTTTTATTAATTTCATTTTATTTATTGGCAGACCTTAAGAGGTAATCCTAAATCAGCTCCTCGAATAAAAGGTTTTATTATTATAAATGATGATTTCGTTTATACCCTGTACTTTGTGATTCCAGAAAAAACTAAGTTTCAGAACCCACTCCTTTGACCTCTAAAATAAAGCAGATGAACTCTTAGGCTGTTATAGTTTCAGGTCTATCGGTACAAAAGTGTTCAGACCGGCACATTTATCAAATTGTTCGTGGGAGTTTTCGGAGTTTACTTCGGTGTTTACAGAATGACGGCCATTGTGGATCTATGTACCGGTCGGGTAAAAAAATCAAAATGGTGTCTGCTCATCCATCTTTGATATGACACGAAAAAAATGTTTATTTCAGATTTGTGTTTTTTTTAAATGTATTTTCTGTCTGTTTGGTTACTTTTCTTTTTCATTATTTTTAGTGGTTGTGCCTTGTACTACTTTTTCGGTCTTTTGTATTGATCACGGTACAGATATCTGCTACAGCCTCATGTCCGCCTGCAGGCCTCTGTGTTCGGGCGTAGGGGTGGGGGGGTGTACCTGTGGTGAACAGCACGATAGCTTTAATGCAGCTGTATTCTGCTGAGTCCACGTGCAGCACCTTCAGTTTCTCCACCTGCTCCTGGAAGACCCGGATGTGGTCCATGAAGGCCACCACTCTGTCTGCGGACATCGGAGAGGCGTGCAAGCCCGCGGCTGCGAGCAATGGGGCGACGTGCACCGGCATGGAGCACTGCGCCGCATTCAGGACGAACAGTTCGCTCCAGGTGAGGCGGAGCAGGGCCACCTGATCCGTCACCTGCAGGTCCGGGAAGAACGGGATGTTCCGGGCCCACTCCACGGCACTGAAGAGCATCCGGGCCGCCAGCTCGCAGATGTTCTCAATGCCCATGATGTTGTTGCTCTGCAGGCACTGAGAGCCGAACCGGGAAGTCGGGTAGGGCTCAGCCCGCAGCAGGAGGGAGATGTATCCGGACAGGTAGGAGTGACACTGCAGAGGGTCTCCGTTCGTCAGGGCGAATTGGCCGTGATAGGACTGCGTAGGAAGCCTGCCTCTCTGGACAGCTGCAACAAAAACACAGAACAAATGTCAAATCCAGCTGGAAGGCGAAAAATACCACACATGACATTTAGAGAAAAACACTTTGAGGCGGGAGACATATTTTAGAGCAACAAAGGAGCCAATTAAACCGATATAACGTCTTCTAAAGACTCTCACAAAAGGCCTGATGTAGCATTTTTGCCAGAAGAGGTCACATGCAACAACCAGACACAGCTAACGGTTTAAGACAGCGCCTGGAAAGAAATGTCACGTTCTCGGTCACGAATTTCACGGCTACAACATGCACCTGAAGTCGTGAGAGAAATGTGGACGTCTTTTAAAGTTTATATTACAGTTATTTATCAAGTAATAGGGACATAAACTGTCGTATTTGCACTTTGACCTCGTTTCTTGTGACCTATTTTAAAGTTGCCTCCTGCACTCAGATAGTTTATTTCTCTTTTTGCTCTCTGTGATCAATTATTTTTTAACTTTATTTACATTTGCATCAAAACCATTTCTGCAGCTCTAAAAAAATTACTCAGTTTTTGGTAGCAGGCTAAATCAAGCTAAGTAAGGCCTGTACGACCCGCATGCATAATGGATACACTAACACACTCTCATACACGGACAGTACACGCATCTCCCCAAACCGTAACGCGCCTGTGGACTACATTCTAGAGCCAAAAATGTTGAAATGCAACTAAAATGTAGTGAAAATGACACAAAATTTGAACACACGACGTTTTAAGCGCCTTTGAACTACACAACAGCCATGAAGCCAGCCAACAGTAACAACAATATAGTCCACATGCTACATGATGCTAGCTGTAGCTGTCTTATCTCTGTGGGATCACAGGCTGGACAGTTTTGAAGAGAGTGACGGAGACAAATGTGCACAGGCAGAGGAAATATATATGCACGTGACACGGACTCAACTAAGGCATTGTAAATGGTGGTGCATGATGAAATTATACTAGCTAAACAGATGTAGCAAGCTAAAATATACAGCAGTTTAAGAGTAAGTCATGCCGTCAGGGGAAAATAAACAGAGACCAGGATAAACTGTATCCTACAGTCTCTGAATGCGGGATATTATTGTCTGATAATACCGGCAGCAACAACAAAAGGACGCTATCCCGTACCTTCCCTCCTCATGCCGACTTTGAGGCATTTCTTGAGGCGACAATACTGGCACTGGTTGCGGTGGTGCTGGTCCACGGGACAGTTCCTATTGGCCCTGCAGGTGTAGGTCAGGTTCCTCCTAACGCTGCGTTTGAAGAAGCTCTTACATCCCTCACATGTGAACTGTCCGTAGTGCTTCCCGCTGGATTTGTCCCCGCACACGATGCACTCGATCTGCTGGCTCTGGTGTTTGTCCATGGACGAGGAGGAGGACGAGGAAGAGGAGGTGTTGTTGTTGTTGGTGGTGGTGGTGTTCGCGGTGGTGCTGCTGGACGGATTGGGCGGCGGTGCGCCCTGAGGTGCCGCTGCTGCAGTCGGCGGTATTTCCAGAGAGGGCGTCGGGTTCATGTGTCCCGTCAGGTCCCCGGGCATAGACAGAGGGGCAACCTGGGACACCGGGGAAGAGAGGGTCCCCTGGGCGTCCCCGACACCCTCGGTATTTCTCCACGCCACCATCGCCATATCGACCGTGTCCAAAAGTTTGCGCGCCCAACTTTCCTCTTTTTACGCAAAAATTAACGCACACAAATTGCCTGCATGGATTTGATCTACACTATCAAAGAAACTGCGGCATTTTTCGATAATATTAAAAACGAGACACGCCTCACTGTATGCATAAAGAGCTCATAAGATAACAGTGATAGAATTATAACGCGCGACTTCACAAGTAAAAAAGGGCAGTCACCCAGAAACAGGTTCAGCGACGGAAATCCAAAAAGAAATCTTCATTCAGAGCGAGATAATGCACTATTACATCCACATGAGAAACATAAAGACATACAACACTGAGCCAACATCCACGGAGAGAGGCTACGTTATCCGGGGGGGTGGGGGGGGAATCAAACACAATCTGATCCTTTCTTTCTCAGTGTCCAGCTTCAAACAGGACAGCGCGCGAGCAGATGCTCCTTCAGAGACCAGGCTTTCCAGACGCTCCTTGCTCTCCCCACCACTGGGAAGTTACATTAAAAAGACAACGGAGAGAGAGGGGGTGATGGATGATGATTTTGATGATGCTTTGCTCCGGGACGGAGGAGGAGAGTGGTGCGTCTCAACGTCACTGGCTGTGACTCGGTGACGCGTGTATTTGGGGCGTGGTTAACGCGCGCGGGGATGCTGGTCTGAGAGCAGCTTGGGGCCTCATTTGGATTTCTGTTGAGACACACACACACACACACACACACACACACACACACACACACACAGCCCAGTGTGGTGTGAGTGCTCTCCCCCTCTCCTAATCTTTTCTGCTAGTCCACTGTGTGTTTGACAATGTTAATGTTTATGTGTGTGTGTCTTTGTAGGCGTGTGTGCGTGCGCGTGTCCCTGACTTCAGTATTTTTGGTTGATTGTATTAGCCTGCGTCTTTCATATTCGCGAAGAAATCAAGAATTAAAATAACAAACTAAACCCTCACTGTAAGAGTGTCTGATAAGGAGTGTGTCAGAGGCAGCAGCAGTCTTTCTGCAGTAACGTGATGCCACCTAGTGTCATCGGCAGCTACATCTCACAGAATTCATAGCTTTTAGGATATTAGTTTTTTATACGGCATTACGAGATGTATCCTCAAATTCTGAGTTGGTTTTTTTTTACACGTTCTTCACTTTAAGCTTTTATTGAATATTTATGTTTAAAATCCTAACCACATGTTAACAATGTCAACGTGTCATGAGAGATGTAACTTAACAAAATCCCCTGAAACAGCTAATTTTTTAAAAGTCCAAGGTTTGATATTTATTGGGATATTTTTAAAGGGACCCTGAAAACAAACAAAAAAAAATCATGCACACAGTATAGCATCTATTATTTTTCTAACCTTCTCTATTGTACTACCTACTCATTAAACTGGTCAGATTTTTCCATGCATCTTCACAAATCTTTTTTGTAAGTCTGCCAGTTTTTCTTCATCGTAATTTCTTGACCTGGGTATAGTGTAACACCTCAGACCACTAATGTCCCTGTATGTATGTGTGTGTGTGTGTGTGTGTGTGTGTGTGTGTGTGTGTGTGTGTGTGTGTGTGTGTGTGTGTGTGTGTGTGTGTGTGTTTTATGCTGAAGTAGATCTGAGGCCAGAAGTAGAGGAGGTCTCCGTATTTCCGAATTCCTGCTTCCTGCTGCATGCTACAGTGAGGCTGAAACTACAAAAAACCCAAAGTATACATTTTGCTCAAATTGTTTCACATCATCACAAACCCTCCACAGATTAAGATTCAGATTAAGATTCAGACACTTTTGTTCCCACAGTATTAAAAGCATTTACAAAACCAACACATCCCTGTATGAAAAATCAATCTTACATCCAAGACTCGGTTTGTTGTTTTATAACATATAAGACTTAAAATGTTCAGCTAATGTCTCATGTGCTGTTTTATCATTCAATGAACTCCCAGAAATTTCTCCACATTTTTGAAACTGCAAGTGTGAACACAGACAGATATATTTTTATATGGACTTTTTCAGGTAGATAACTTGTAAACTTTCCACAGGAAGCTGAAGTTTAGACGATTCTGTGAGGAGGTTTTTAATGTCTGTTGGTATTTTCTTCTCACTCAACCTTCACATAGCCTAGCCACCCATTTAGAAAGCCTCATTAATTTTTGCACGGTTTTCCCTCCTTTTGTGTTCCTTTTTCTGGTCAGCCATTGGCCGTGTGTGTAGAGTTTTGTGCTCTTCAACGAAACCGAGAATAATTCTGAAATAATGTCCATGCTGTTCAACAGAGGCGTCAGAAAGTGACACAAATCATTAAATTAGTTCCTTGTGTGTATTAGTTTGATGTGTTGTGAGTGACACAGTTGTCACTGTAGACTGTGTAAATAAATGGATGTAGTGTCTGTGACTTGATCTTTTTGTCCCTGAAGTGGAGTTTTAAAGCCTATTGGCAGCTGTCCCCATACTCTGACTGAACCAACCTAACTTTCAACCAACCTACCAGAGGCGGACCTTTAACCGTCTTGCATGTAGCTACAGGGTTCCCACATAAGTCAAGTCAGGTGTGTATCTGATTTGCCGACTTTATAGCCTTCATAGCTTTAAAACAAATAAGATACAAAAATGTACTCCCTCATTCTTGTAGGCTGTGGGAGGCCTGCACAATTCAGACTGAAGCTGTTTTTTAACCATGCTTTTCTTGATCAGTGTGAACATGGTCTGGTGCATGTCCAGACAGCCTAGACAGCCTCCAGTGGACACTCGGGGAACTGCAGTTTTTTGCTTTTCCTTTTTGGGTTCATTTCTAAAGACTGGAATTTGCAGCTTGGTTGTCACTTGAGATGGTGGACCCCTACAAGTACCCAGATATTCACCTGAACAGTAAACCGGAAAGGCCAGAGTAGACTCCACCTACTGAGGAAACCGAGGTCCTTTGGTAAGGAGGGAGCACTCCTTAGGTCTTGTTATGACTCTGTGGTGCAAATTTCCCCACCGTGGGATGGATAAAGCTTTATCTTATCTTACACTGCCCCATTATCATGTTTTTATTTTTCTATTGAGTAGTCTACTGGAGCAGCTGTGTCACGGCTGCAGACAGGAGCAGACTAAACAAACTGATGAGGAAAGTGACCTCTATCCTGGGCTACTCTATGTACCCTTTAGAGGTTGTGGGGGACAGGAGGCTGATGGCTAAGCTGTCGTCTCTCACGGACAATATTGCCCACCCCCTGCAGAGCACTGTAACAGCACTGGACAGCTCCCTCAGTGACAGGCCTCTGCTGCTCCCAGGTTTTTTAGCACATTTAACACACAATAAAAAGGTTTGACATCAGCAAAAAGGTTGATCTAATCTTATCTTTTCCTATCTTCCATCGCCCAATTATTATGGTGGTTTTGACTAATCAAGAGACAGCTGTGTCACAAGTATGACAGTTATTTTTCGGCAATCCTCTTTGGCTGTCTTGATCATTTTGAGAACACTTAAATGTTGCAGATTTGATAAGGGCTACACTGTGATTTTTTTAATACCATATATGTAGAGAGGATTATTGCCTTTTCTGCATTAATGTGCACACAGATCCCTTGTTCAGTGCTTTCCTCTTAGCGCCAAAGGTGATGTTGCCTTAAAAATCCTGATTTGCTTTTGGTGACAGTGTCCTTTATTTCGATGGTTTGGTAGATTCAGATATAAAACTGTTGTGATGTTTGTGGAGGCTCTTGGTAACATTGTAGGGCCTTAAAATATTTCTCTGTTGACTCACGCTCCATGAGTCCTGAGGCTGAGTGTGCCATCACGTTCTTCCAGGCGGCCAGCTCTTCAGTCATTCAGTGACTGCTCACACACAAAACAAGCTCTGCCTGCCTCTGCCTGTTCACAAAACACACGGCTGACGTCCAAGACCAATCAACAGTGGAAGGTCAAGACTAAAGTGTTTACCACACAGTGGGGGGATGATGCGTTCCTCCACAGTTTAAGTCACTGAACCCTCCCTTCTCCAGTCTATCCAGTGACAAGTCCTGTTAGTATTAATCACAGATTTAGGAGTTTAAGGATGATAATTCCTCCTGTTTCTGATGATCCTGTGACCTTTAAGACTTATCACATGTGGGGAGCTGAAATCTAGCTAATTGAAGACAAAGTGAGAGAGTACGGCCAGGAGAGTCCCGCTGTGTGTGCAAAGTGGCAGGATTTTGACTGTTTACTGCTCAGTGGGAGGTGAGCTGCTCTGCGAGGTGGCTCCGTAAATATAAATTGTCGAATCAAAGCTCCCTGCTAAGCTCTTTACCCTCTGAACAACAAGTGGCACCATATGTTTATCTGTTAAATCCACACAGTGTTTAATATGAGGGCAGATGCAGAACAGGTCTGCTGGAGGTGACAGGTCCGGAGCATTGACGGCCTCTACAGTCATGCACTGTAAGGACTTGTGTGTGAACAAACACAGAAGAGAGGGGCAGAAAAAATAGAAAACTACTGACTAATATATTTTTGCCTTAAAACTGACTTGGTGATCTTGAGTAAGAAACAATTGGCAGATCTTTGGTGGCAAAATGCCTCAGGCGTAAGGTGTTACACTGTTTGAAGGGCTGGATAACTCATAGACTTCTAGGAAACCACAGCAGTATTCTGATCCATCAGAGTAAATGGGTGTAGTGTAAGCTCATTATGTCAATGAGATTATCGGTGGTGATCTAAAAGTATACTACAGCCTGTCTCATACCCTCCGGCGGACTCTTCCAGTAAGTTATTGGCAGACTCAGAGCTTCGGTGAGCGTGCAGATCTGGGAATGTCATGACCTCAGCCTGGCTACAACACAATGAAGGAAAACAAACAACAGTATGTACTTACACGTCAAATGGGTATTATTTACAGTGTTTGTTAACTGATGCAAGGTATGAAATGAATAACAAGAGGAAACATGATGTATGACAGGGGATAAGAGTCACAATTTGACATCCAGCTTCAACTTTTAAATGTCTCTATCAGTACAGGAGTTGGGGTAAGCTGGGGTATGGGTCATGACTGTGATCAGGTTTGAATGTCTGCATGACTTATTACTGTCAATGCAAATTCACATCCACAATAGCCCCTCCAAAGATCCCCTTTTGAAATTAGACAAGTAAATGTACAGGATCAAATGGCACACTGCTAGCTTGTAGTGTCATGTGACCTTAAATGCATGCTGGGAGACTGGCCAGGTCTCCCAGCATGAAGCCTGGTGTGTGATGTACTGTCACGCACATTACCAAACAAGACCTGACAGAGACAAACACATGCATACATATGACAGCAGCTCACACGACTGGACGAGTAGAGCCAGAGGCCTGTCTTCCCCTTTAAAACAGGGTAAGAAACCCCAAACCCATTTGGAGTAGTCCTATCAAAAGAGACTGATTTCAAAGTGGTGATAACCGAGAGGAAAATCCAGGAAATTCCCCAGAGCCACCGGTTTTACTCTAAATACACAAGAAATTTGATAGACATCAAATAAGGTAAAAAATCAGAGAGCTGTCTGTAATCAACCCAAAACAATAAAGATGTCCTCTCAGTCTCATTTTGTTTTTGTCTTTTATAT